TCAAGCAAGTATGAGTCAGGTAAAAAACAGGATTATCTCCATCCCCTACATTGGCAAAACCTCACACCAGATCAGCAGACTCCTGAAGCAACAAGATGATATCGACACCACGTTCTCCACTCCCCGAACTCTAAACAACCTACTGCAGGCCTACGGGCGCAGCCACCCCACCAACGGAAAATTAAACCCTGAGGGTGTGATTTACAATCATATATTGGGGAAATATCTAGAACACTTAACACCAAAGTGAAAGAGCACCAGGCGTCAACAAACAAATCCGACAACAAATCAGCCATCTCAGAACACATTCAGACCAATCCTAATCATCAAATCAACTGAACAGAATACACCATACTGGCAACCAACCAACCTGACTTTACTATGTACGGAAGTTAACTGAAGCCATCCACATCAAATGACACCGACCCCTGATCAATAGAGATTAAGGTTAATTCATCCCCTCGGCATACGATTCTGTCTGTCTGTCTGTTTTTTACCTGACTCATACTTGCTTGACAACGATACACGAATCTATATCGAAGCGTCGCATCTGTTTGTAGTGCGTCCATCATGTGATTCACTTAATAGCTTGCTTGGGTGATTTCTTGACAGTTTACTTTTCAAAACCTAATATTGGTATATAAGGAACTAATCGGATGCATGTACATCACATTTTTACAAAAGTATCAGAAAAAGTATGTATTCTCAAAATCGAATGATACATAGAACTATACTTCTGATGTGAAAGGGGTTCATAAAACAACAAACCAGTACTATCTTACATGTATGTTGGGACTGTTTCAAGCTCTGTATCTGACATACTTTTCAATGATTACATTCGCCGAATATCAGTTTGATAAAACTTATGAAAACTGAATCACAGCAAAATAGCTCTCAGGAGGCGCATATCTTGATTTTACCAGTGGATATGCTTTAGATACTATGACATTAGATGTAATTAGCCAAAAACGTCGTTGGCCCGAGTCGGCCTGGGTTTTATGCAATACTCTCTTCGTCTTGTATGGCAATAAGTAGAACCCAATCCCTCAAATGCATTCTCCATCACCTAATTAAATACTGCTCTTTTCCAGTCATGGTTCTCAGTCAGAGTCCCAAAGATTGAAGTATGTGTAAAATTATTATTTCCCAAGGAAACTGTTTGTAACTTTGCATGTAGGTGCATGTTGTGATTGTGAAACTATAGAACCATGTTTTAATGATCCAAAATTTAGATTTAACCTATAAATAAGAAAAAGGTGTTTGGTGATAGAACAAATATCTAAAATCAAACGCTGTTTTGTTCAGTTCCAAAGTGTCCTATATCCATAAAATACTGAAATAGCTCCGAAAATGTACGTATATATCTTAATATTTTGAATTTTCTTATTTAAAAAACCCAGAAATAAGACAAATGATTAGGAAAATACCTTTATTTTCAAAACAACACTTTCAGTAATGCTATTTTTCTGATTTCCATGCATGAGTGCATAGGCTTGAAACCGAGAAGCTATTTAAACCAAAAGTATGCTGGTCATTGATATTTTATGGTGATTTCCTTTAAACATATGGGAATATATAAGAACTCGGTGAACAGGGAACATTTGGCAAACGTCAAACAATTATGAACAGTCAAGAACTAGTACAGCAAAGTAAAAATATTGATATTGAGAATCAAACTTAGATTGTAATGTATAATTCAGACTGGATGTGCTGATTATCATCTTATTGATTAATTGGATGTAGCCATGATGACGTGATCACTCACCAAGTACAGTACTACAATGCCCATATATGGCATGATCACTCACCAAGTACAGTACTACAATGACCATATATTACATGATCACTCACCAAGTACAGTACTACAATGATCATATATGGCATGATCACTCACCAAGTACATTACTACAATGACAATATTTGGCATGATCACTCACCAAGTACAGTACTACAATGACCATATATGACATGATCACTCACCAAGTACAGTTCTACAATGACCATATATGACATTATCAATCACCAAGTACAGTACTACAATGACCATATATGACATGATCAATCACCAAGTACAGTACTACAATGACCATATATGACATGATCACTCACCAAGTACAGTACTACAATGACCATATATGACATGATCACTCACCAAGTACAGTACTACAATGACCATATATGACATGATCACTCACCAAGTACAGTACTACAATGACCATATAGGACATGATCACTCACCAAGTACATTACTAAAAATGACCATATATGGCATGATCACTCACCAAGTACAGTACTACAATGACCATATAGGACATGATCACTCACCAAGTACATTACTAAAAATGACCATATATGGCAGGATCACTCACCAAGTACAGTACTACAATGATCATATATGACAGGATCACTCACCAAGTACAGTACTATAATGACCATATATGGCATGATCACTCACCAAGTACAGTACTACAATGACCATATATGACATGATCAATCACCAAGTACAGTACTACAATGACCATATAGGACATGATCACTCACCAAGTACAGTACTACAATGACCATATATGACATGATCACTCACCAAGTACAGTACTACAATGACCATATAGGACATGATCACTCACCAAGTACAGTACTACAATGACCATATATGACATGATCACTCACCAAGTACATTACTACAATGAACATGTGCATGATCACTCACAAACACTAAGTGAATTACTACATTGAACATGTTCACTCAGTAAGTACTACGTACTACGATTACTGGAGTTAACTGGATTAGCGGTGACATGTGATGTTATATTTAATGTTCCTGGTTGGTCCATACATTCAAAAGTTCGTCTAAATCAGTGAATAATGCAGTCTGAATGTATACAAATAAATGAGGCATATGTCGTGTTTTTAACATTCCAAAAGAAATATATATATATATATATTTATATATTTATATATGTATATATATATATATATAAAGTATCATTTGTTTGTGGATTTGCGTATTGTTCCGCTGTTTGTTTCAATTACAGAGAAACATTCAAAACGGACAGTAAGATAAGGAATAAAACGTGTCAGTGCGTCATAGCTAAGATCATACATTAAAACGAAGTTGAGCAGCCATTAGTGACTATTTGAGATCTAAAGTGGTTTGAAAGAGTTAGTAGGATTTTGTACAATATCGTTCGATTAGATTCAATGGCGCCTATTTCGTTTCATCCACATATTCACGGCGATTAATATACAATGTTGACTTCGTTCTAAGGTTCGAGAAAGTCCTCAATACGTCCCTAACGGCCTCGGGCGAGCCTCACGGTAGAAGCTAATCAGCCAATTTCTGAAATTCTCCTACACATTAGTATAGATTCACCTTCAGCTGGCTTTTGGTTATATCATCTGTGTATTTTCGACGTAAACATGAAATGCATACGACAACTTACGGATCTCATTTATCTTGACTAAATTCAGAGGCACGCCGATATACCACACGATATATTGACAAAACTGACTATTATTTTACGCCATGATTTCCAATTTCATAATTTTAGCTTTATTTTATATATTTCAAGCTGCAGTTACTTCAGATTTAACCCGTGAAGGTCCGGGTTAGAATGAACCTTTAGTAACCCCTGTTTGTCGTAAGAGGCGACTAACGAGATCGGGTGGTCAGGCTCGCTGACTTGGTTGACACATGTCATCGGTTCCCAATTGCGCAGGTCGATGCTCATGCTGTTGATCACTGGATTGTCTGACCCAGACTCGATTATTTACAGACCGCCGCCATATTGCTGGGATATTGCTGAGTGCGGCGTAAAACTAAACTCATTCACTCACTACTTCAGATTTAAACTGCGCATATCTCTAGCATTCATGAAGATTTGTACAGCGTGTGGGATTCACGCTTAGGGTCGATGTTAACAAACGCTTTGTGGACACTGTCTTTCTTAGAGGTGGCTAGTCTAAAAACAGATACCAAATAGTCAAGTCCATATATACATGTATGACTTATCTCCCCTGGCGTTACGAGTGCCTCGATGTAGGTCCACTCGAATTCAACCATTAATAGTAACTGTTGTAGACAGGAACCCATTCACTTTACATCCCAATTTGTCTTTACAAAATTCACCTATTTCTACATAACATGTACAGCGATGTCAATCACTCTCTTCTACCTCGTCACTTGTTCCTTTTTCACCCAAATTGTCGAGGTAAGGGTCTTGATCCCATAGCCATCTGCCTCGCAGTATGAAAGTCGACTATTTTTATCTCGATTCCGTTTACAACAATCTCTGATACTGCTAGCTTTCCGATTGAGTGATCGTCTAGTGCTATCCGGCTGAGGGTTGTGACTTTGGATCCTGTGCTTCCCATTTTGATACATGTTTTAGCCAAGGATTTAAGTGCGTCTGCATGTTGCTGCTGAGCAAGTGGGACCTAAGCGAGACTGGTATTGTGGTTAGGAGAGGTGTGTGTGCCCTGAATCTCCTCGGCCACCTCATTTTCTACTTCGTCCTCTCCTGACGCCGTCTAGGGGACAGTTTCGAACCCAGTGATTTCTGTAAAACGATGGCTATCCTTGCGGCAGGACCTCGAAAAAGGGTGATTAATCCCCACTTGGTATATTGCAGTAGTAATCTTCTTCAACACTCGACCGAATTCGAAAAACGTCCGTATGAAGTATCCAAAGAAAACGACGTTCGCAAATAAATGAAACCGTCAAGACATTCGCTACTTACAAGTAAAATGTGCGTCTCTCAAGTGACCCCAAAGAAAGCATGGTTAAAAGGAATGATTATGGGAGGAACACTTGCAATAACAATGGCTGTTGATAGAAGCTTTGCTGCATTAATTAAAGTTATATACAAAGGGCCATTTTCTTTGTGGATCATGAAAACGCCACTTTACGTATATACTTTTGCCTATTTGCTGTGAACAGTAGTTACAATAAACAATAATTCAGCTGTTAGCACATATTTAGGGCGTTATGCTTCACTTACTTTGTAAGGTATCTGGACATGCCACAATGGTGAGCTGTATGTGTGCACTCTGAAGACAACTTCACTGTTGCGGGTGTGCAATCGAATGTCAACTGAAGCACTGTCACCGTCACTCCCATGAAGACAATCTGACAATAGTACCATTCTGTCGGAACCTTCGCGAGCTATAAACTTCAAGTGAACAGCAAATTTGTATCCCATCGTTGAGCCATTTAGACTTTTGATGATCACCATACTCTTGTCATAGAACTGTCCCGTTCCGTTCGCTGTGGGCTGAATATGAAAGATTTCGAAATCGTTGCCAGAGGTTGTTACGTCTTCGAATGGACTGTTACCATCGAAGGTCATTTCGAATTTAGGATGACAAGCTGAAAATAGAATTGAAAGAAATGGAAAAGATCAGAAGAGGATACAGTTTGGAGATCAATGGAAAGTGTCTAAGAGATACTCTACAGTCAATCTTGAGGCTGTATTTACCTGGGTTATCTTGAAATCCGGTTGGGGGATAGTCACAACGACATAGTTCCTCCCTGAATATAGTCCCATCTGGACAAGGACGGATGAGAGCCCTCTTATGCACCATGCGATAATAATAGTGGAAATTGCCTTCGACCTTTTGCCTGTCGTCACACACTGATAACATAAAGTATCTTCTGTAATATTCCTGAAACCTTCAGGACATAGCATTTAGGATAAAAAAGATATTTTTATCTTCGATGTCAGTATTTGTGAACTCTTTCACGTGTCACATTTTTCATGTCCCTACGAGTCTATTTCTTCACTCTGTTGTTCCAATCCCCTATTTGTTATCTATATAGTATCAACGTGGCATATTGTGAGGGTCCTGCGAATTAATATACCCATGTACACTTTGAAATGTATACAAATAAGAAATAGGTAAATTGTTAAGAAACTGGCTTTTTTATTTCCTGAACAAAATACAACATGAAAAGAAATTGTTCGGTTCCTTCTATATGTTAACTCCAAAAACGTACTTCTTGTATCCGTGACCAGCCGCTTGTGATGATCAGATACGATTCCTAAATTTTCTGTGTGATGGTTACAAACAACACATGGCAAATATGTATAAAGCACCTGAATCTAACGGCATTTTGTTAAATAACTAACCATAATGGAAAGCATATGTACAGCATGTGCTTCACACAATAACTCAAACGTCATGGGTCGCATGTTTACGTACAACGAATGTGTCAAGCACACTGGGGTATACACATGCAAATTTCACAATTACAGCGTGTGCACTACATATTTCGTAACTGATTTAAACGACCACAAGACTAAACATTAACTTTCCTTAACATGACAAAACATAGACTAAGACTTACAGAAGATACACGGTGTCAAGTTATTGGCACAGTGATGTCCTATCGCAACATTGCTTCATTAACCACTCGGTTATTAGTACACATGTTAGGGAGCATGTGACCACCGTTGAAGAAAAGTATCGCTCAAAACCTGGAAGATCAATGGCCATGATGAAAAGGTCCTACCTTCGTCTGGCAAGATGCAATGCCATGATGATAAGGTCCTACATTCGTCTGACAAGATGGAATGCATGATGATAAGGTCCTACCTTCGTCTGGCAAGATGCAATGCCATGATGATAAGGTCCTACATTCGTCTGGCAAGATGCAATGCCATGATGATAAGGTCCTACCTTTGTCTGGCAAGATGCAATGCCATGATGATAAGGTCCTACCTTCGTCTGGCAAGATGCAATGCCATGATGATAAGGTCCAACCTTCGTCTGGCAAGATGCAGTGCATGATGATAAGGTCCTAGCTTCGTCTCACAAGATGCAATGCTATGATGATAAGGTCCTACATTCGTCTGACAAGATGCAATGCCATGATGATAAGGTCCTACCTTCGTCTGACAAGATGCAATGCCATGATGATAAGGTCCTACCTTCGTCTGGCAAGATGCAATGCCATGATGATAAGGTCCTACCTTCGTCTGGCAAGATGCAATGCCATGATGATAAGGTCCTACCTTCGTCTGGCAAGATGCAATGCCATGATGATAAGGTCCTACATTCTTCTGGCAAGATGCAATGCCATGATTCAATTCGTCCAAACAGACGTCCCTACCACACATACAGGCACAGGCAGGAAAGTCTTGCAACTTGGAGACATGGTTTGATTGTTATTCTAGCTATATGGCAGCGGTCTGTAAGTAATCGAGTTTGCACAAGACAGTCCAGTGATCAACATCATGAGCATCGGTCTACGCAATTGGGATACGATGTGTCAACTAATTCAGCGAGCCTGACCACCCAAGCCCGTTAGACGCCGCCTCCAACAAGCACATATTGCTGAAGATTCTAATTAAAATCCGGATCTTAACGGGTTTGAAGACATGGCGTAAGTTTTTTTAGTCTGATGAAAATCGCTATCTTTCACACATTACCGACGGCCGTCATATGGAGACGTAGGAAGTAGGAATATATCCAGGAAGTGATCCATGCAGCTTGACCCTTTGATGGAGGGCTCAGCAATGATGCGGGGCAATGATGTGTCACCCAAATCATTGTTTGGACGGCGACGGGTCCACACAACACAAATTTGGAAGAATCTGCTTGCATTTCTTTATGCCACGACTAACTGAAAATGAAAGATGACGATTCATTGGAATGCATGAAACCGGAACACCCAAGCGCAATGTTGCACATCAGTGTAACGTGCACAAGAACACCATCTGCCGCTTATGGAGACATTATCAACAAAACGCTGTCGTTGCCCGAAGTGACCGTCCAACTGTAACCACGCAACGATCGTTGGATTCGAACCACCCATCTGCACCAAAGATTCCAACCAGCCACACTGACAGCCCAAACAGTTCCTGGTGTCAACAAGATATCGCCAAGGTCTATTCGCCGTCGTCTGGCTGCACATCGGTTACGTGCTAGATGACGTTACCAATGTTTACGCTTGCAGTGTTGCAGACTGCACCTGCGGGGGAGAGCACGTAAGTTGAGACATGATCTATTCACTGACGAGTCCAGATTCCTCCTTCACGGCGCTGATGGCCGAACCCGAGTTTACCGGGGAAGCATTATGTTAGGAACTGTGTCCTTGAGGCCGACCGTTTTGGCGGTGGTGGAGTGATGCTTTGAGGTGGGATAACGAGTGCTGGACGTACACCTTTTCTGTTCATCGATGGAAATGTAACGAGTCTCATGTTCAGAGACGAAACTGTTAGTCCAGTAGTCATACCGTTTCTCCAGCAGAATGGTCCAGGAATTATCTTCCAGCAGGACAACGCCAGACCTCATGTCGCCAGGATGGTTCAGCAGTTCTTGGCGCAGCACAATGTTAACGTTCTTCACTGGCCCGCCAACTCCCCAGATCTGTCCCCCATCGAACACGTCTGGGACGAAATGGAGAGGAGATTGAAACGTTGGCCCAAATGCCCCCTTCAGGAACTCCGCCAGTTGCTTCCACAGATATGAAATGCCATTCCACAAGACTTCTTGCGACGTTTGATTGGCTCTATGAGGCGCAGGTGTCAAGCGTACATCAATACTCATGGTGGACATACACGTTATTGAATGTGTGAATTTCATTTTGACCGTTGTCTGACTGTGACCTCATAAGCATGTGTCCGCCAGAAAAGTTTAATATCTGTCATTTGCAATTCTACTGGGGAATGATTTTCTTGCAGTATTAAAGCATTCTCATTATGAAAATAGCAGTTGTTAATTCTCATATCTAACTATCTAATCTAAGTCAATCACACTTTTGCCTTTGAGTATATGTCAGTTTTTCAAACTTATCATATCAAAACCGTGAATGGTGTTTGATTAATGCTCATGTTTTTACATACTAACGGAAAAAGTATCTGTGCATAACACAGAATTGCATAAATACAATTGCAATATCATCTATCAAGTTTACCTGGAAGTAATATATGTCAGTGTGTCGGTTGTACGAGTAACGTAATGACCCTTTAAAATGACGATTAAACATTTCTGTTCATATATCCACATAGCATATATTGTATGTATGTATCATACAGAACCAGTAACCTTTTACAGGGAGGATAGAACACTTTCAAAATAATTTTATGCCATTCAAATTAAGCAGCCAGTAATATATACTATTAAAAGCGAAACCTGACACTAGAATTAAAGTTTGATAACAAAACCGGTACACAACATGATCATGACACCAGACTTGTCCAAACAGTATCTCTATGAAACCACCCAAATCATTCACACAGGCATGTGAGTGGTGTGCATGAAAGCAATCACACCATGGAATCATCTGCCACCCATGTTTCTCAGTGTTCTAAGAAGTTACAAAAGTTTCCGGGTGCGTTGAGATTCCTGGAGCGCATACTCTAATCTATAGTGAGTACTCACTTGTTTGATGGGGCCAAGGAACCCTGTGTTTAGTTCTTTTATAGACAGATAATTCCGATGTTTATTGTTCAATATTTCTATTTGTAAAGTTCTGTGTTCCTTTCTTTTCTATATATGCTTACGGAAAAAAGTAACTGTGCATAATATAAAAAATGCATAAAATATCGATGACGAGACGTTTTCAACATAATGGGAACACGAGCGATTTGCCTCGGACCGGCAGTCCACGCCTGACGTCACGTCAGCAAGACAACCACATTCTACTGAATCGATTCCAGATTTCTGGCTCACGTCCAATCAGTGCCAGGACTGTACGGAACCGACTGAGGGAACACAACATCCGGGCCCTACCTTCACGCTTCTGCAAGACAATCCCCGTTCATATGTCGCCCGTGTTGTGTCAGATTTCCCGAGACAGCAGAACATTCTGGTTCTCTCCTGGCCAGCTGTTTCTCAGGACCTGTCCCCTGTTGAGGACGCTTGGGATGAACTGAGCGATGTTTACGCCAAGCACAACCATTGACGTTAGCTGAATTGGGGCAAGCGTTGGTTCAGACATGGAACAATCGCTTAGTGTCGTCTATGCATCGTCGTTGTCAAGCCTGCATGAACGCCAATGGTGGACACACACGATACTTGAACTGACGTTTGACACCACATCTCTTCAACGACGTGTTACGATGCCGCTTAGTGTCAAATCATACAGATTTCAATATTACCCTGTCAAGGAAAACACCATGAATCATGTTATTATCTTTTGCATTTTAATAATAATAATGGATAGCATTTATATAGCGCTAATCTCCTAAAGGACTCTTTGTGCATATGTCTCACAAAAAGTGGACGGAAAAGTACACATTTAAGGAAAGCTTGTTTAAATACAAATGTTTTTAAACCGGTCTTGAATGAACTTTGAGAAAGGGAATTGCGGAGTTCATTTGGGAGGGCATTCCAAACTGAGGGCGCACTATATTTGAAATAGCGCGGTCCTGCTGACTTTATGTTGTTCTTTGGGATTTGTAACTGTTTCTCACCAGAAGAGCGGAGAGTTCGTGGAGCCTTGTAAGTAGAGAGCTCTCTGGGCAGGTATGGCGGTAGTGAACCATCAAAATGGCGAAACACAAGTGTTGCAATCTTGTATTTGCACCGGAGCGTAATAGGCAGCCAACGTAGATGCTGCAGCATTGTAGTCACATGACTTGTACTTCCGTCTCTTCATCAAAAGACGAGCTGCGCCGTGCTGTACTCGCTGGAGACGAGCGATCTCGTCAAGAGGGAGACCAAAGAAAACTGAATTGCAGTAGTCCAGCCTTGAAGTGATAAAGCAACTTACAAGACTGACTGCTGTGTCTTCACTGAGATATGGTCTAATAGAAGCAAGTCGGCGCATCTCGGGAAAGCACGGGACACACTGCCGATGTGGTTATGGACAGTTAGTGATTGATCTAAGTGCACCCCCAGATACTTCACACAGGTTTGAAGGGAATATAACTCTCTCCTATAACAGCTGACTCATCCTTGTTTTAGACGGTCATGTGCACAAACTGGCATTAGTTCTGTTTTGTCTGTGTTCAATTTCAGTTTATTACTGAGCATCCATTCCAAAACATCGTCAGTGCATGATTGAATGCCATGTTTGACAGCACCGAAATCCTGAGGAAGACCACTTTTTGACATTTCGGTGCCGTCTGCATATTTCTCGAATTCACAGTCTTGGGAACAGATGACCTCTTAGAGTGGTTGTACATATAGAGTAAACAACACTGGCCCCAGGACAGAGCCCTGTGGAACTCCATACGTGAAGGAACTGGGGTTGGACTGCACGGAATCAATTTCAACTCTCTGTCCACTGACATAAGATTTAAACCATGCTAAAACTGTACCTCGAATGCCATAATATGTTATTTCCATCCGTTTTAATAGAATTGAGTGGTCCAGCGTATCGAACTCCGTGCTCAGATCCAATAGAGACTTGCCTTTCTTCAGCCTTTAGTGGTAGGTTGTTGACAACACTAAGTACAGTTAAAAATGGCATAACATCAAATAATGCACAGTTACTTTATTCCAGTAGTGTACTTATTAATTGCATCACGTTTATTTGTTTCACACCAGTTTGTTTTCTGACTGATTTCCATTTAACTCATTGTTTCAACTTGAGAATCAACAGGTAATGTAAGGGTATTATTAGACTGCCAATGTTGACGATCTGTTGACTTAAACATATCATACAAAGTATGCAGGTATGACAGGACGAGGCACCGGACTCCCTCCCAGTTGTCGGCCTTGGAACAATTATCCAAACGTCTGTACATGATTCCTTATCGCCTCAGTTTGATAACCCAGAACCATCTTTTCATGTTGTTGATTAGTTTATATTCTGCTCGATGAACTTTCGCTTTCAGCAAGAGGACTCTCACAACTGTCAGCGGCATGAAGCAAAATTGATTATACTGACGAAAGAATAAGCCTTATCGATCATATGGTATGTCTAAATTTTTGGGAGAACAGAAAGGCAAGTAAAGGGAGAATTCAGAGAGTATTCAGTGTTTGAACAATGAATCTAAGGAGGCAAATGAAAATGGGAAAGACGTCTTAGAGAAAAAGAAAGATCTGGTAAATGATGTTAATAATTAACAAACGAGATTGATGGAAAGACGGACAAATCCATTTCCATACCCCGCCTACCTCTCTGATCAAGATCATGATGTATTAACTGAAAACTTACTTGAAGACATGTCGTATCCAGGATCACATTCTGGGTTACAGGAAGGATTAGGAATACAGCCATGGTTCCATGTGAAGGTCGCTTTGTTCGGGCAGCACTTCATTACCGGTTTCTCATTTTCACATTGCCAGTAAGCACGACAGTTGTACTCGTATGGAAACGACGTGCCTGAAGCGTTTGTACATCGTTCTGAAAACGTATCATATGAACTGATTTAGTAACGCACAAATTGTGTCCATATGGCAAATATTGACATCAATATTTTCAGCAAAGCATAAATTCCTAATATGCCGGATTTTATATTTTCCCCAAAAGTACATCTGTGCGGGTTATTAGAATTTAAAGGAAGTCATCGGAGTAGGATTACGAAATGGAGCACATTGGACCAAACTGGAAACTTTGAAATTATACCTGTAATATTCAGCAATGCTTCCTCGGTAGTATCATGCTTTAAAGTTGTAGAAATTGAGTCATCAGTTGTGGTGTCCATGTTTGGAGACGCCTTATGATGAACCCGGGTCGTCGCTTTCTTAGGCATCATCGGAGAAGTGTGGACGAAGGGTGTTGGTATTGCAGTTAAAGTCGTTGACGGAATTGTGGATATTGGACGTATACTTGCAGGTGTTGCAGTGGTTAAATGGACTGACGGAGCGTGTGTCCATAGTGTTGTTGGATTCGTTACTGTCAACGATGCTGTTGTGGACGTAGATACGGTATTTGTAGTTGCTGATGGGTTTGTTGGTAATGTGGTCGATGGAAGTATCGTAGTAGTAGATGATGTCATAGTCGTTGTACGACGAGATCGGGTTGTGTTTGCCAAGGTTATTATGAATGGAGAATGAGTTTCCTGTATGGCTGTGGATGGCAGGGTTACTGGAATGGTTGTAGTTGGGCTTGTCGGTACCGCAGTAGGAGATGATGTTGATGTAATTGTTGATACATGTGGAGGTAAGTGTGTGCTTGATTGGGTTGTAACAGTTGTAGAAGGGGTGAAAGTAGTTGTAGATGGAGATGTATTAGTAGTTTGAGTTGTGGATAAGGTTGTGGGAGATGTCGTTGTAGATTTTGATATGTCTGTAAGTAAGTGTGTGCTTGATTGGGTTGCAACAGTTGTAGAAGGGGTGAAAGTAGTTGTAGATGTATAAGTAGTTTGAGTTGTGGATAAGGTTGTGGGAGATGTCGTTGTAGATTTTGATATGTCTGTAAGTAAGTGTGTGCTTGATCGGGTTGTAACAGTTGTAGAAGGGGTGAAAGTAGTTGTAGATGTATAAGTAGTTTGAGTTGTGGATAAGGTTGTGGGAGATGTCGTTGTAGATTTTGATATGTCTGTAAGTAAGTGTGTGCTTGATTGGGTTGTAACAGTTGTAGAAGGGGTGAAAGTAGTTGTAGATGTATAAGTAGTTTGAGTTGTGGATAAGGTTGTGGGAGATGTCGTTGTAGATTTTGATATGTCTGTAAGTAAGTGTGTGCTTGATCGGGTTGTAACATTTGTAGAAGGGGTGAAAGTAGTTGTAGATGTATAAGTAGTTTGAGTTGTGGATAAGGTTGTGGGAGATGTCGTTGTAGATTTTGATATGTCTGTAAGTAAGAGTGTGCTTGATTGGGTTGTAACAGTTGTAGAAGGGGTGAAAGTAGTTGTAGATGTATAAGTAGTTTGAGTTGTGGATAAGGTTGTGGGAGATGTCGTTGTAGATTTTGATATGTCTGTAAGTAAGTGTGTGCTTGATCGGGTTGTAACATTTGTAGAAGGGGTGAAAGTAGTTGTAGATGTATAAGTAGTTTGAGTTGTGGATAAGGTTGTGGGAGATGTCGTTGTAGATTTTGATATGTCTGTAAGTAAGTGTGTGCTTGATTGGGTTGTAACAGTTGTAGAAGGGGTGAAAGTAGTTGTAGATGTATAAGTAGTTTGAGTTGTGGATAAGGTTGTGGGAGATGTCGTTGTAGATTTTGATATGTCTGTAAGTAAGTGTGTGCTTGATCGGGTTGTAACATTTGTAGAAGGGGTGAAAGTAGTTGTAGATGTATAAGTAGTTTGAGTTGTGGATAAGGTTGTGGGAGATGTCGTTGTAGATTTTGATATGTCTGTAAGTAAGTGTGTGCTTGATTGGGTTGTAACAGTTGTAGAAGGGGTGAAAGTAGTTGTAAATGGAGATGTATAAGTAGTTTGAGTTGTGGATAAGGTTGTGGGAGATGTCGTTGTAGATTTTGATATGTCTGTAAGTAAGTGTGTGCTTGATTGGGTTGTAACAGTTGTAGAAGGGGTGAATGTAGTTGTAGATGTATTAGTAGTTTGAGTTGTGGATAAGGTTGTGGGAGATGTCGTTGTAGATTTTGATATGTCTGTAAGTAAGTGTGTGCTTGATTGGGTTGTAACATTTGTAGAAGGGGTGAAAGTAGTTGTAGATGTATAAGTAGTTTGAGTTGTGGATAAGGTTGTGGGAGATGTCGTTGTTGTATTTGGTATTTTAGTTGTAATGACAGATACGGGTGCAGGGGGTATTGTTTTCGATCGCCTTATTGTCGTAGATGAAGTGTTTGTAGCTATAAGTGAAGTAGTATCGGTAGGGGGAATTGTAGATAACAGAATGGTTGATGGCCTTATTGTCGACTGATGGGTGGAAGGAAATGTAATATTAGATCGGGTGGGAGTAATCTCAAGACTAAGAGAAGTAAATGCCACAGATGGAGTTGTTGTTGCAAACCTGGCAAATGTAGATGACTTGGCGTGAGAAATAGAACTTAGGTCTGTGATAGTTTCGTGTGTGACAGAACTTTTGGCTTTTACTGTGGTTGTATCGTTGGGTATGTCAGCAATAACCAAATCAGTGCCTGAAGCTGTGGTGTGTTCTGTTGAAGTGATCCTTGTCGACATGTCTTGGACGTTCGTGGATTCAGTTCCCTTTTCCTTCTTACTTGTAGTTTCAACTCTAGACGTCAAATCAGTTTTAGCAGATTGAGTGGTTTGCTGGTCTGTCAATTTTACGACACCAGATACAACTGTATTCAGTGATTGGACTTCTCCATCTTGATTTCCACCGCCAAGCAAACTAAGAACATTGTAGGTATTGGCTGTGTTCGTCATTCCTTCAGAATTTACAACATTATCAGTATTATCAGCAAGGTTCAATATCATGTTTACTTGAGAATTCCTGTTCGCCACATGTTCAGAATTTGAATCCCCTGGAAGGCTAATTACCTGGTTGCTCAATGTATCATAGCCACCGCCACCGCCACCGTTAGCCTGCCACAAGTAAGACGCTTTGTCAACTGGTGTTCCTGTTAAGAAAGTTGTATATTATTATATCCACAACATAACGTGATAATTCACATTATATCGTGTGGTGAATAAATAAAACAGGGATCGCATAATAACAGCATGGTCACCAACATGTTGTGTTAAGATTGATGTCTGCGATCATAATATTTCTTATGGTTTCTCACAACACAAAACAAATATCGAAATAGATTTTTAGCAACCTATTAATTTCATTTAAACAAGACATATAGAATGATTTGAGATGCTGCTCCAGGTGGAGGTTAGAAGTGTGAAAATGTCATTAATTGCAAAACCTTTTGGCCTGGGAACAAATATGTTCAACACAACAGCATGTTAACTATTTAGTATGTTTATGAAGGAGGTGGGGTGTCTTCAATAGTCAAAATAGTTATCAATAATTATCAAAATAATTATTAAAATATGAATAAATGAACTCTATACACACAAAGACATAAACTGTTTTACACCATGGTGACTTAAAGGGTCAGCGTAAGCAGTTATGGTCGATTTCAATAATAGTCTGACTTTAAGATAGATGGAAAATGGCTTAATACCTGCCCCCGAACATATACATATGTAAATACTATTGATATATTTTACATTATACGTTCAAATGTGTATGCAAGCCGAAATCTTTACCTTAAATAATTAGGTGTGAAAACAACAAACAACAAAGAAAATCTTAAACAATTAACAATTGTATTTTACAATTAACTAAGTTCAATACAAATTATTGCAAAGGAAATACAGTAGCGGTCCAAAATAGAGTGGCCGTACAAATTCGATGCTAGTACAAATATTGTATAGTAGGTACAGTAAATAATAATATATATTATGCATGACAACCCTGAGAAAGAAAGGTAACTACAACAATTTGACTGTCACTTTAATTCAGTGTCAATCTGGACGTAATGCATGATTTCACTGCATTTCTTTATGAAATGAATTCAAAGATATATTCTGAGGGGAAAAATAAGGGATCACATGAAAGCACAAGTGTTCCCTTATTTTTTTCAGGTTTCTTCACAGGCTTTGTATCGCATGGCTTGTGAAGTAACCTGGAAAAAAATAAGGGAACACTTGTGCTTTCATCTGATCCCTTATTTTTTCCCTCAGTATATGACTGTTTAATTCCAGTTATTAACATTTTGGCATATGATTGGGATTTTAACTAACATTGATACCTATTTATCCGTCCTTCCCTTAGAACTGTTTGTTACTCAAAGCTGCGCTCAGCAATCTATCTACCAGCTTTATGACGGCGGTCTGTAAATAACTGAGTCTGGGTCAGGCAATCTGGTGTTTTATATAGCGAGTAACGATCCACGCCGTCGATGCGGGGTGACGCGCTATTGGCAAGTCTGACTACCTGATCAGATTCTTAGCCTCTCACGACCAGTTTAGTTTGCTATTATATCCCCAAAAATCCCCAAGGGGAGGCGTTAAAAATAGTCTTCACATGACCAACCCATTGAACATTTTCTTACGGTGTAGAAATTACTGAGATAAAAGTCTTGCGAGTACCCTTTAAACCAAGACAATATAACACATACAAGTCTATAATATTCCATAATTTATTACCAACGTGGTCAACGTATGGGTAGTTGCATACTAATCGTGTAGGTCACACGAGTGTCGTATCGCGTTGACCTGTGTCGTAACGACTTGACCTGCGATTCTAACGATTTGATTGGATAACCGATGACCTCTCAATTAGGTCACGTTGTGACGGAACTACTTTTTCATTTATAACAAACACGTGAATTCATTCATTCTATAACTAAATGCATTGTGGGAATGTAAACATTGCGAACGTTGCCGCATCGCTGTTTAATTGTGAGTCGAACTGAGACATTATATGCGTCGAAAAACATAAACGCAAAGTTTCCACCAGTGATGTTAGCCGAGTGAAGCAACTGCAAACTAAGGAACGGGGTGCTACGGAGTAGTTTAATGTATGAGGCTGTACGAGGCGATGACAACTGACATGCATCCTGACGTCGGTCACCATGGGGACTACAAAAAGTGTACTACAGAACAACATTCTTCCGCAACCTCTTTATGAAACCGGTTTCGGTTTGAAACCATAACAATAACAAAAATACGCTATTTTGTCAATTTAAAGCATGTAAGACGTGGGTAATAAATAAAATACCACACTCGGTCTCATAACATACGAATTGTACGTATACTCGTTTCGTATAATTCGTATGTTATGAGACCTGGTGTAGTATTCTCTATATACTGAATAAACAATAAACAAGGTTACAATGAATGACAGTACAGATTTCCAACACAATAAATATGACATTAATGTAATAATTGACAAAAACACATCCTCATAACAGCATTAGCAAACAAAGATTTTCTCAATAATTTCTGGGAAAACTGTATTTACGAACATACCAGATGCCGAACACGTGCCCACCGTTGGCCACTGGGAAACCACACTAACAGTTCTTCTGACCAGAACACTGTTAACACTAAATTCGACAGATGATAGCATACTGAGGCAAACAGAATAACCTAACAGTGTGCACTGGCAATAAAGTTATTACTACACATACCATTTATCTCAAAACATTTCTAACAAACTGAAGCGAGCAAAAGTGAGTTAAATACGTTTTTAAAAAACAAAACAGGTTGAAAGATAACATGTAACTCAAGTACAGTAACCTGTTCCTTACACATCATACGTAACCACCTGAGGGGGGATAGATTAAACTTTCATATTTTTCTCATCGTAGTGGCGCAAAAATACACAACACAACGATTATAAATGAGTGACGTCATTCGGCTCCCTGATCACAACTCCTCCCCAGGGTGACCCTCCTCCACAACAACGTCTCTGCCATAGTTATCAAGGCGATAATTATGATGCCATAGGATAAAATCAAAGAAAATTAATTAAACATTCTAAAACGACGATGTTGCAGCGTTGGTGTAGATTATGTTCCGTCTTGCAAACGGAAACTAATTGAGATGTCATTGTTTTCGTGTGAGACAGTGCGAGTGTCTCCCATTGAGTTTTATTATAGTTTGCGGAAGGTTGTTTGGATATTTTGGCACATCTGCACCTGTGAGCAGTTCAAAAGAATATTTCATCAAGTGAATTGTGTACCATTCCTGTATATGATGAGGCAAATTCAAAATCGCTTTGCATTCATGAGCTCCATGCACGTTTCATGTTGTACATTGTTGCACGCAGTGTGTGATTCTGACATGAAATACCTGTATACGATACAATCGGTTTACGATAAAGGTGTTCTACATGGGTAACAAGTCTGCGTTCGATTGTGCACGAGTAATGTATCAAGGAAGTTGAATCAGGAAAGTAGTCGGGAGTTTAGATCATCACGGTGTAGTAGCAAGTCACGGACCTGGATATCGATCTCACACATATAGTTGATACCAGTTTTCTGATATGGGTATTTCACCAACAGCTGCTGTGTAAGAACTATATTTATTCATATGGTAGGTACGATCATTGCTTCAATCATTAGTACGTGTCAGGAACTCAGTTCTAAGAAAATGAACATATTGGCACTGCAACATATTGATAATTTTCCGGACAGAGTGATGAAGTTAAGATGTTAGTATCATTTACAGAGATAACTAAAGTTGTCACACAAAACAAGTTATGATATTCGTCGCATAGGTCTGAAATATTACAAAGATTATATTATTTTTCACAACAGCTAATTTGTTTCAGTTTCCAGTTTCATTCGGTTCTGAAATGTAACAGGATAATTTTACTCGGACGTAACTGTAAAGGAATCTTTGTATATTTCAAACATTCATTTCATTACACTTTTCTATTTTAAACATATTTGCTACTCTTTATAATTCTATACTCAGCAGTAAAAAAAACGTCAGTACGAATTCAAAATTAGATAGGCACTGTAATCAAATCATTTCAGAAATTGACATAATAACCGGATCAAAAACATTTATTTTGTGTACAATTTTTTTGACAGAATTTCAAGACATTACGTGAACGTTTGCAGTCCATTCAGACCCTTGACTTCAGTATCTAATGTGACCACCTAGAGCGACAATAACTGCAGCACAGCGTCTATACATGGAGTGCACCAATCGATTGATTAAGGCCATTGACACCTGGAACCACACTCTGAGATTGGCTTGGTGCAATAAATCGGCTGTGTTCGGCCTTGGTATGACATTATTCAGTCTCCTCTGAATTTCATCGCAAAGATGTTCAATTGGGTTTAAATCAGGACTACGGGCTGACTACTGCATAATGTTGACACCGTTCTGCTGTAGGAAGTCCCGCGTAGCTCTGGCAGTATGGGCCCGGGCGTTATCATGCGGGGAAATGTGGTATATTCGTCGTCGCCATATTCTTGTTCTGCCATCTGCAGTTGATACGCAGTACCGACTCTCATCTGTGAACAGAACAGTTCTCCATTGCCTGTATCGCCAGTTTTGGTGTTGTAGGGCAAACTGTAGAGGTTCACGCCGATGACGAGGGGTGGGGATAGGTCCACGGTAAGGTCTACGGCAATGAAGATTCCCGCTGTTAAGACGTCGGCGTACTGTGTATTAGTACTGATTGGTCTTCCGTGTGTTCCCACGTGGCGTGCTGTTTTGGATGCCTGCATGAAGGGATTCTGTACATGCTGTCGCACAACATGGCGGTCTTGTCCTGTGATCAGCCTTGGTCTGCCAGTACGGGGGCGATCATTTGTGGTGTTGGTGGCCCGGAAACGTAGCCGCAGCCTGTAGATGGTCCGAACGTCGACCTGGAAGTGATTGGCAACAAGTTGTACAGTGTGGCCAGCTTCAAGTCTTCCTAGCGCCTGGTTCCTCTCAGCTGTCGTGAGTGGCGGCATCCTGCTGACGTTGTATTGTGAATGTTTCAACAAGGTTTCGGGGTGCTTTTTATAGAGCTGGTCCTTGTGAACAGCACGTGCAGCATGAGTTGCATGAAAAACATGGAGAACACCGTACCATCTCCGTGATCAGATTGCGGTTTTGA